CATGAGACTATTTAATTTTTAAATGAGACTATTTGGAGACTACAAGTACATACAATCACCTCCTTGAAGAACTGCCACAACTGGTTAAGTAGCTAATCATTAGTCTTTGAGGGAAAACCCTAAATGAAGCATCTTTCAGTTGTAATTTTCATTATGTTTTGAATTTCCTGTTTATGGCTTAGTTTTCCAGGATTCCAGTTGTGGTATCATATTTTGATGATTTCTTCATTACGTTGTACACATGGAAGAACACTTTTCCAAGGAAAAAAGGAACAAACGTGGAATCAGTACTTCAAATATCACATCCTTGACCTCTTCATTCCTAATGCCGCTATCTCCTCTTCAGGCGACAGCATTGTGTTTTCTTGAAAATCAAAGAAAATCTTTAGTCCTTTCTAAGATTCTTCGATTTTTGTTATCCTTTCTACCCACGAAAGGCAGTCATTTCTAAGCTTCTTAATTTTTGATACATTGGAGTTGGTAATACAGAAAGTGGTCAGGAAAAGAATCAGTCTTCCCAGAGATTCACAAACTGTCAGCAGGTCTTCTCTGGCCACAAAAGATGTCTTTTTATGGGGATGTTCTATTGTAATTTCAGAAGGTGGTTGTTAGTTTTCTTGGCTACAGTACATTCAGCACATCTGGGATGTGTTCACATGGAGACCTTGGCCAAAAGCTGTGTCTTGCGGCCTGGAATTGACTGATACTGAAAAGACTGGAAAGGACATTCTTTGATATTTGGCTTAGTCCAACAGACACCTTCCATGGGAAGCTCAGTCAGGAATTCAGCTCTGGAATCAGAGAGAGGGCACAGAAGTCAAACTTCTCAATGGTTATAACAATTTTTTTCAAAATGGTTTAATGTACTTTTGGTTCTTTCCCAAGTTTCTGCCATAGCAATTATAATTCTGCCTCAGACAATTACTTCCAACCCTGGAACCCAAATTTTCTGACAGTGGTTCTGCAATTACTTCATTTGGCTTAAAGCAGTTTGGGGAAATGACCCGCAGCAGAGTGATAGCCTCTGTAACCCATCACAGAGAGCGCAGGCCATCGAGAGTGTCCCAAGCTGTGCTGGGAGCCAGTACTCGCCTCGCATCCTTCTCAAGGCAGAACTTGGTGTTTGATGACAGCGGTCCATTCTGCTATACTTGTGATGTAGCAATATCTGAAGTTTTTCAATCTTAAATGAAGGTGACTGAGAGAGACAGACAGAATCCTGTTCCATCTATACCTGTTCTTCATTCATTTTTTGGCACCGAAGTCAGCTTTCACTTAAAACCTAGGGTATTTGAACCAAGGTAGAATTTTTTTCCACTTTAGTTGGAGTTGTAAGGGCTTTCATGTAGTGAAGTATACCCATCTTAGCTGACAAGTGTGTATGCCAAGGACTAGTGAATAGTGGACAAGCAGGGATTTTTGGATTTTTCAGGCTTCTTAGTATTTATGATTTTTGCCATGTCCTTTGTACATTAGACATCTTTTGACTCGTGGGAAGGTATAAAGTGTGAAAGTATGTACAAATGTACTTTGTCAATTGTAAGCTGTTTTGTGACCTGAGTAATATTAATACTGACAACAATAGCATCAGGTCTACACAACTTAGGTAGCACTTAGTCTGTGCCAGGAACTATTCTCAATACTTTACATATTTTTACCTACTTCTTCATCACAGAAACCCAAGAAGGGTAGGTGTTATGACTATTCTGTCTGACAACTGTGGGACTGAGGCCCAGGTTGGTGAAGTAACAGCTTCAGTCCCCCAATGAGTATGTAGCATGCAGGGGAGTAGAGCCCGGGCAGCGTGGCTGCAGAGTTAAGGGCAGAGATACTGGAAGGCCCCTCCCCTTTCTGTGGCCTTCTGAATATTATGTAGTTAGAACATATGTGGCTTCTAGTTAGGCTGGAATTGGATATGGGAATTTAAAAAAAATCGAATAGCTCCTTGGTTCTGATGTTTATGAATTTGATAAGTACCTGTGATCTCATTTTAGACCAAAGAGAATTTAGAAATAATGGCAAATATGATGTTTATTTTAATTTAATGTGATGCAGCTCTGCTCTATGGATGATTCTGAACAGCTTTATTCCCCTAGCAATATAAAGGGCATTTAAAAAAACAAACAAAAAGAAACAAAGAGTAAAATGCAACTTTCCATTTCTTCTTTTTTTAAAAAAGGTACACTATTGTTTATTTACCTCTTGGTTGCTTTCTTGGAGCCATGGGGTTAGAAGGCTGTCTTTCAGAGAACAAAAAAAAGGAGCTGGTTGACAAGGACCCACTGTGCCACTCAGAACAGCTCTCTTCCAGGGAGTGACATTGACTTGTGCAATTTCAAGAAAAACAGACCTAGCTTTTTGTGTTTGTCAGCTTTATTCATTACACTTGGGCCAGCTCTACCTTACAGGGTTAGAGTGAGAGGCAGCATTTTGGTCTGTAGAGGTGAGAACTATGATTAGTAAAACAAACTGAGCTACCCTTAAGAGAAATTTCTTACTTTAGTTAATATGTGCCTAGATTTTTCTCCCAACTTACAACTTCAACCCTGTGGTTGATGGCTCTTCAAGTCCTCTTACAGCATCTCCTTCTGCTATAATAAGATACACAGTAAAATCTCACTTTACTCAAAAGAAATGATTATTCTGTTTTTTCTTCCCCTTGTGGAAGGATCGTTCTTTGGTCAGATGGAATGAGTTCAACTCAAAAGGCTTTCTCTTCAGAGAATGAAAAGACAGACTTTACATTGCTTACGTGTCTCTAGGTTCTCTACTTCTTCCAAGACTAGTCATCACCTTTACTCACTGCGCCCCAATATAAAAAAGCCTTAAAGGAAGAAAACATGAAATAGGGGGCAATAACAAATGTGCGTGTTCTAAGAACTTAAATATCTATAAGTAAAAGTCACGATAAGGATAAAGAACTCCAGACATTCTGAATGTCTGTTAAAATTCTTGGCACTGTGACATTCAGAACACTGACTGCTCATTGATGTGCACAAGGCAGCTTTGCTCTAATGCTCTTGTGGGTTAGTAGGGCAGGTATGCATGTAAAGCCACTTTGGAGTCGACTGTTTCCTCTTAGGGGCTTCCATAGGTTCTGGTCCATGTCTCTGTTATGGAGCTGACCTTGCTGTAAACTCCCTGAGGGGACGGTTACGTCTTACTTACTTAGGATAGTGTCCAAAGCACAGTAGGTACGTAATGAACATTTGTAGAAAGAAGAGGGGAGCTAGGGTTGTCCGTACGCAAGGAGGAGGAAGGGCCTGTCAGGCAGAGAATGTGAGCAAAGAGAAAGACTTGAAAGCTGTGGGAGAGAAATCATGTCGTAGTTCAATCTGGTTAAAATATAATGTGCAAAGGGATTGTTGGAAGCTACGGTTGAAAAGATAAGACGGGAAGGATTTCACAAATCATTGTCAAGATGAGGGGTTATTAGATGACCCCTTAAGTTTGCAGCCTAAAGGATCAAAGTGATTGTGATTTCCTTAAAATAAATTGAAATGGAAAGGAAAACAGGTTTAAGAGAGGAGGACTATTCCTTTCTGAAAAACTGAGTTTGAGGTGCTTGTGGGACCTCCAGATGAAGATAAGGAAACCTAAGTGGAAACAGGGCGAGAAGCTTAGAAGAGTCAAGATCAGGGCGGAAGAAACGCGTTTGGCAGGCAGAGCTGCAGAAGCGATTGTGAAAGCAGGGAGCAGATGGGAATGCTGGGAGAGGGAAGAGGAGAGGGATGCAGTGAGGACTGAGAATGAAACCTCAAGGGCTTGAGAAAGACACGGAGCCGTAGGAGCCCTGCGTGAGGACCCGGCCCGGATTTTGCAGTCAAGGGTTGAGTTCTGGTCTTGCTCTACCACCTGTTAGGTGCATGATCTCCAGCCGATTACATGAGCTTCTGGGCCATAGTTTCCTTATCTGCAGTCTAGGAATGACACCTCAGTAGTTGTTGTATTAGTTTAAATAGCTTTTAAAAGTATTTTTAAAATAATACTTTAAAAATCACTCTTATGTATTAAAATAGCAAGAGCCAGTAAAATGGAAGATTTGGAGTTCCCTATATTATGTATGTGTGAGCAACTATATTGCAAAGTATGTTATTTTTAAAATGTCTTGTAATCGGTACAAAGTTGAAGATGTAGGAATTTTCCAATTACAGCTGACCCTTGAACAACATGAGTTTGAACTGTGTGGATCCAATTATACACAGATTGTTTTCAATGAGTATGTTGGAAAAAGTTTTTGGAGATTTGTGATAATTTGAATAAAGATTTTTTACACTATCTTATTTGACTGTAAGAATATAGTATATAATGCATATAGCATACAAAATATGTGTTAACTGTTCATGTTAATCGGTAAGGCTTCTGGTCAACAGTGGGCTATTAGTATTCAAGTTTTGGGGGAGGCAAAGTTATATGCAGATTTTTTACTGCATGGTGGTTGGTGCCCCAAACCCCCATGTTCAAGGGTTAATTGTACATGTTTTATAAAGTAATGCACTGTCTTCTAAATAAATGTCTTGAACTTTAAATATTCATTCTGTGTTTACCAAGCTTAGTATTTTGAGCTGATGTATACCCAGCCCTTTTCTAGCTCCTTTCACTAAACTCCTCTAACCAAGGCCTCTGCTTTCCTGTTCTTAGGGTATTTATTAATGTGTGTTTTATTTAGGTACCACTACTATGCTTAACAACACCGGAACCTTCAGCTTTTAAAGCAATTCTTAAATTTATGTTGCATAAATTTTCCTAGTACATTCTATTGTGGTTTTCCTAGTACATTCTTTCCAAAATAACCATATTTTATTCCTTATTTCTGGGAGAAGCAAAATTATTATTGACAAACTTTCATCTCAGGAAATATCATGCACTGTAAAATGACTTTTCCATATCTCAACAGCATTGATAAAATGCATTTTAAGTGGCATTTTAATGTACTGATATTCCTCGCATTTACTAGAAAAAGAAACAACCAGCAATGCTTTTCTTATCCTTTTTATTAGGGTACCACATTAAGAAAAATACTCTTGAATCGGTACTTTAAAGGTGATTATGGAGTTGGCATGAGTGGACCCCTCTCTGGAACCTACTGCAAATCTGCACAAGGGGGAGGTAAAAACGACCATTTTCCCCTCATTCTAGAATTCTCATCACATACCTTCATGCTGATGTTACTCAAGCATTGTACTTAAAAAAAAAAACACAAGTAAAAGCAATTCATTTAAAAAGCACTATTAAAAACGTTTGTACAGGTATGGGTTCACAAAACAACAGATTTGAACATGAGAATTAATTTTGCCTTTGGAAAACAGTTAAACTAAATCATAATTTCTTAGCACAATTTCTTAGTAAAAAATAAAGCTAGTTTTCTTTTTCTAAAGTGTTTCTTACTAAGAAAAACATTTACTTACAGGTGTCATACATTTAATAAAAAGTTATGTTTTTATAAACTGAAGATTTTTTTTTAAACCCAAGCTTCTTTTATATTTAATTTTTTAAGGAAAAAGTCCCAATGACAAATATTCTTCAGGTCTAAGAATTTGAGAACCTTTTATAAGAATAATGTCTGTAAAAAAAACAAAAACAAAGAATAATGTCTGCAATTACTTTTTGTTTGTTTATTTTTCCTCATCGCAGGAAGCTTTTCTGGACAAGATCCTGATAAGGTGGGGACACCAGTGTCAGATATTCAGTGCCTGCTGGATAAAGAAGGTGCGTCCGAACTTGTCACCGATGTCATCGTGAGCACCAAAAATGACAGGATTTTTTCAGAAGGCATTTTACTTGGCATTGCCCTGCTCGAAGGAGGAAATACACAGACTCAGGTACCTGTTTATCATGCTGAGCATTATTTTGGTTATTTGTACTTCTTATTTACTTGTCATAGATACCAAGGAAAGTAATGTGGTTTTTAAAATTTATTTTAGCTTCTCATGATTGTCTAAAAAATCCCAACAACCTCGTATCACATTTTCCTTACAAATCTATTCAATTTGCTGTAGAAACTGCAGAGCTCCACAAATTCTTCAGTGAAGCAGAACGTTCCTTAGAAGCATTCTTCCAGCATTACACCAGAAATTCTGGTTTGTTTAGGAAAATTTCAGGCTGACTTTTGGCAGGAAAAAAACCCAACAGTTTGACTCACCTAAGAATTAAACACTGAAAAAAAGAATTAAATGTGTTAGTTAAGTGAGGGAATATATAAAACTGCTCACACAGTATTGGCATTTCAACTGGCTTCCATTACATTCACCACCCACGTCAGCACATCCCTCCCATATGCTTCTTTAGAAGTTTGGGATGTACCTCCACTTGTGGCCATAAATATCCCAGTGTATCTTAACCGGATGCTTCTGAGTAAGTGAAATTTTCGCTGGTGGAAGGTTGTTCACTCAGCTCAGAGGGGTGATCGGAAGCCATCATTCGTCACTCAGTACTCTACTGCGGGAACCAGCATGCTCACCTGCACGCAGGGATCAGACCATAGTTTCCAGAAGGTACACTTTGAAACTCCGGCCAAGTTGCCCCTGGGCTCCTCCAAATCCAAGGGCAGAGTGTGGAAGTGTTAGGAGCCCGAAAGCTGGAAGTGTTCTCGAAGGACACGTGTCATCCCCCTAGGAAGTGTTCTTAAAGGACATGTGTCATCCCCCTAGGAGGTGTTCTTGAAGGACACATGTCATCCCCCTAGTATTGCTGACAGCTTTCCTGCCCTGTCTGTTTCCCTGCCTCAGAGAAGGAAACTATGCACACAATTGATTGGAAATTCCAGAATCCATTTCCCCCATTCGTGCAATTAGAAGCTACATCTAATTAAAAACGAGACCATTCTCCTTTATCAATCCATCACAAGCAGTGAACAGCAGGAATTCCACTGTGTGGCACCTACCCAGTAGCAGGTGGCTTGAGAAATAATGGCCTCATGAACAGCGGATGTCACAGGGACCAGAAAACAACCTCAAAACACTCAGTTACAATAATAAGTCCTGAAATTCTTGCAGTACTAAAGCTGCAGCGCGAATTCCTCAGGGGGACGCAGGGGAAGGGCGTGGTGGATGGATATGAGTGGGCTTCCTTGGAAATCATCTTGTCTTCTACAACCAGATGTTGAGTTGGGACTTACTTAAGAAATCGTGTGGCAACTACATAATGTTAGATGCAGATTTTCCAGGTAGGACGGAAGCATCTTTTTCGGCATCTCAGGTAGATGCAATCTTTGAAATTATAGCACTTTCTGGATTTCTGTTTCTGGGCCACTGAGGGTCATTAAGTGAGGTGACTTCACCTCCATGCCTGTGTATGCTTATTTCTGTCCTCATGTGGTGAGAGAATAAGCTCCCCTCCACTCGTAAATTCCTGACCAGTTGTTCTGTATATCGCTTCACAACCGAACACCTTTCAGTCCTTTTTATGTGACATTTCTGTGGCCGTTGTCACTGGAGACTTCTTTCTTTTTGAGACTTTCTCAGCTGACACCTCAGGGTACCATGCTCTTCTCTTTCTACCTCCTACCATTTCTCCTTCGCCTGTTGTGCAGGCTCCTCTTCTGCTTGGCTCTTGCATCCTGACATCTCCCAAGTTGCTTTGCACTCTCCTCTGTTTCTGTTGCCTGTTCCCCAGCCTGGGCACATGATTTCCTCATCTTTGGCTTCCACTCGATGCTGATGATTCTCATCTCACTCACTGAAGTTCTACACTCTACATCCAGCTATCTTCCAGAGATATTCAGTGGCTTGCCCCACAAGTACCTGAAGCTCAGCCTGTCCCAAATGGAATCCACTGTTCTCCATCCAGGATTTATGGCCATAAACAGACAGGGCAGGAAAGCTGTCAGCAATACTAGGGGGATGACATGTGTCCTTCAAGAACACCTCCTAGGGGGATGACACATGTCCTTCAAGAACACTTGCTAGGGGGATGACACGTGTTCTCCATCTCTTCTCTTGTTTCGCGCTCTGTCAGTGACCGGCAGCCCGTCTGCCCAGCTGTCTGACCAGCAGCCTAACGCCAGCCTTGACCTCAACTTACTCACCCTCCCTCCCTTCCCAGACAGCTCACTGAAGGCTGCCCTCTGCGTTTCTGCCCTGTGAACACCTTCACATCCATACTTTCCATCTCTGCATATTCAGTTCTCAATACTGATCCTTCTTATTTTCACCCAGACCATGAGGAGTATTCCGGGATCCTAGCGTTGCCCTTCTCCAAACCATTCTCCACATTGTCTTCCAAAAGGCGTGTCATTCTCCTGCTTAAAATCAGTCTTGCCCTGTAAAGGAAAACTGCCTACTGTGGCCCATCAGATTCTTTGTGATTCAGTCGCTGAGAATTTTCCAGCTTTCCTCTTCTATCCCACCTCTCCTGCTGCTCCACCCCCTCTCCTCTGGTGCACCAGCCATACCAAGCTCTTTGTGGTTCCTCAGAGGTGCTGTGTTATTTCTCATGTTGCTTTCTCCTCCTTGAGGACTCAACTCCTGAACTTCTCTTGGAAGCCTTCTCCTGTCACATGTCCCACTGGGCAGAATTGTCCACTGATCACTGTTATGCCTCTGCTATGTCCCACTGACATCTCCAATAGCATTTCTTTCACTTACTGTGCCTCTCTATGTGTGCATCAGGTTCTGTCTAGAAAATTAAAGGTTGAGACCATACACTGTTCATCTTTGTCTCCCTTGTGTCTGGCACCATGTCTGGCCCAATCATGGGGTTCAGTAAATGTTCAGGAGTATTGGCCGTATGAGTGAATGGACCACACCACATTCTGCCTCCCTCATGATGCCCTCCCTGCCTGCCTGGGGCCTTTGGCAAGCACTTCTTTATCGGAGCTCCACAGCATGTGCTTCTGTACTACTCACCTGGCCCTTTTCCTGTGTGACTTTGTTTTATTGTTATTTACATGACAACCTGTCTCTGTGATTAAATTTCATCTTTCCCAAAGGTGGGGATCATGTCCTGTTCTTTGTATCTACAGTGCTTTAGAGCCAGCCAACAAACACTCGGTGATAAAGTGGCACTGACTTACTTTTGTATATGAAAGCCTTCTGTGCCAATCTCATTTACCAGCCTTCCCCTATTTAGGTGTGTCACTTAGCTGCATCCTTACATAACCTGGAGGTCTGCTGTGCGCTCCTGTCTCTAAGAGGTCTTGTAAGGTCAGCTTGACCCCTGTTCCCACCCTTTAATGGTGTAAAGCCCACTCCTCCCCAAGACTTGTGCCAGACCCCAGGGGGTTACATTCTCTTAGTCTCCTTAGCCTCTCCTGTCTTGCTTCCTTAGCTCATGGGTTGTCTTGACATTCCTCCTTCTGAAATACTGAGATAGGAATCTGATCTCCTTCCTTAATTTCTAGGACCTAAGTCCTTCCTCGTAAGGACGTGAGTCATTTTCTGTGTGTAATCTACTTTATTAAAAACTGGTTGAGGCTCAGGATAGAGATACTTAAAATTTCCAATGAGCACTAGCAAAAATAAAAATAATACCTTTTAAATGCCAGGCGGTCTTCTTGGTGCTGTATCTGTATTGACCTGGTCAGTCCTCACCACGCCCTATGCGGTAAGTCGGTCTGTCTCCGGTTCTTTTAACCGCTGTGACATCTCCCCTGTGCAGTGACGTCTCCCTCCGGGGAACTGTCACCGGCGAGTCTCCCTGAAGAGTGCCCTGGCCGCCCCCCCCATCACTGCGTCTCCCTCCTCTGCTCTCCCCTTTCTGGTCTCCCCCTTCCTTTGTCACACAGACCTGTTAATCCATCAGTCTTGGTTCCTTTATTTAGGGTTTCCCTTTATTCACCGAAGCTTATGGAGGTAGTTTCCTAATCAAAAACCATATCTTCCGTAAGAGAAATCCTTATGCTACTGTTGAGATTTTATAGAAAAGTAGATAACATATATACATATATATATGTATGACATAATTTTTATTAAAATCATTCAGCTTTATAGAGCCCTGATTTTAAAAAGATGTAGTTTATGTAAATAATCTGTTATTTTGAGTTTAACAGATTATACATTTAGAGTCAGAGAATCTGGATATAAATCCTAGCTCTACCACCTGCTAGTTATATAATACTATTGGGCAAGTCATTTACCTTCACAAAACCTTATTTTATTAATCTATCAAATGAAAATAAGAACACTGTTCATCACACAGTTGTACTCAACCTGTCAATGAGATCAGGTATGTAAAGGGACTGCATAAATGATAAAACCTTGTTTTAATAGAGGCACCAAGTCCTATAACTTCTTCATTAGTATATTAGAAACCTGCTCCACCTTCTAACCCCATTATATTAAAAACATTAGGGTTTAAGCATCAGCTTAATTTGTGGGACTGTTGAGGTCAGTGAATGCTGCATTCATCCTCTGAGTTAATAGAAGCAGCTCCACTCTTTGCCTGTGGTTGCTATGGTTACTGTGGCTTTTTGGCCTGCTTGCTTGAGGGGTTGCTAGCCCTCTGCTCAGAGCTTCCCCTGGTAGACAGGGAACTGACTCCAGGGCTTCGTAAAACACTCTGTGAATATACATCAACTTCACCGAAAATTGCAGAGCAGTAATCCATTTCGTGACCTATGTCATCAGAGGCTCACCCACGTGTCCCCGGGCCCACAGGTTGTGGTTCCAGGCATTCTTTCAGGAAAGCATATCTGCAGGAGCCACGTTCCCCAAAAGTAGCTCTTTTGATTTATTGGATTATGGTTAATTCTACTTGATCTGGAAATGGTAATTTTTTAAATGTTTTCTTCACATTGCCTCTCATCAAGGTCAAATAACTCTCTTTTAGTCAGTACAGTTACTGGAATTATTACCCTTATTAATTATTTTTTACTTTATTTCTGTTGTTTGTGTTGTGTCTGTCCTGTGGTTTTAGTATTAGTAACTTAAAAGTTCCTCACCCAGTGGAAATTTTATCTTCTGCAGGGGACGTCACCTCTCCTGTCTCCTGCCTCTTCTGAATTCTTCCATAAGTCACTAACTAGACAATAGTTAGGGCAGGTATTCTCGAGGTTCGGTATTTCCATCTCACACTAAGATATCTTTTACCATATTTTGCAGTTGAATCTTCTTTACATCATTTTTTGCCCTAAAGTGGGATTCGTTTTATGCATTTTACAGCGAGCTTGTCCAAACCCCATGCCAAGCAATGTGGCTAATGAAGCACCAATAGAACTTAGTGCATATTTATCAGCGGGTTCCTCTGAGTGAGGCTGCCATGGTAACACCTCCTAAATTAAATGTACTGTAATTTAGATAAAAAGAAAAACAGTTTTTTGTAACTCTCCATAAACGCATTTACCCAGGATGATCATTGGATTAGTGGCTGTTTTCCACTCTAGATTACAAATTCTTGAGAGCATTGACTGTGATTGTTTTTCCTTTTAGTTCTATCCCTAGTTTTAGCATTGGGCCTGGCACATAGTAGGCAGTCAGTAAATATGTGTTGAATCAAGACATGACTTTATAATAACATAAAAATCAAAGAACTCTGCATGCGACTTCTTACAGTACCCTTGTAAAATTTTTAAAAATAAATAATCAGTAAGGATGAATTAAATAACAAATGAAAATATGTCAGATTTTAGCAGAAAGTGCTGAGCAAATATAAGGTATTATTAGTGCACATTAAGTAGTACAGGAGACCAGCAAATGCTGTTAATTTATGTAATAATAATGGACAGCATGTTAAATGTGTGTTTTATTCATAAAAACATTATTTTTCTCCTCTTGGGTATTGATATCCTAAAATATGTTTTCTTGCAGTATTCTTTCTACCAGCAGTTGCATGAACAAAAAAAGTCAGAGAAATTCTTCAAAGTTCTGTATGACCGAATGAAGGCTGCTCAGAAAGAGATAAGATCAACAGTGGCAGTGAACACCATAGACTTAGGAAACAAGAAAAGGGATGATGACAATGAATTGATGCCCTCTGGCCCACGATTGAGAGGTAAAAAAATACTTGAGTATTTGGGAGGATAGAGTGAGAGAAAAGAAGGTAATGCAGTTTTTTGACCTTATTATCTTTGTCATCTGACTAAACTTAGTCTAATTGTCCTAACTATGGCTGTGGGTCTGGAGCTCCATCCTTAATTTATTACGGTTGTGGAGTTGACCTTGAGATAGCTCTCTAACAAGGCATTATCAGTGCAGAGCAACTAGTGATGTGAAAATGTTTGATTTAGTTGTGGGATGTGTGGTAAAGAGCAATGGCCCAAACCTTTTGAGTGTGCATGAAATTAAAACCTAGGAACAGAAATCTTAACCCCATACTCTAGCGAAAGATCCTTGGTATTTTGAATAACCAACCCCTCAGTAGAGCAAATCTCAATCGTATAAATATTACCATTTTGAAGTTTGCCGTATTTCTCCCACCTTCTTGTATTCCAGAACTCTCCTATTTTTTTATTTATCAGAAAGACATGAGCCCTTTTAAAACTTGGTTGAACACTAAGTTGTTTTTTCATGTCTCAGTGCAAATTAAACTTTTTGACTGCCACCTCCGATTATTTTGGGGGAAATGGTTGCACCCCTTGTCAGATGATTTTTAATTCAGTTGTTAGAGAATTTGGGTAACTGGTTATCTTTTTTCTTTAATGAATACAAGGAAATTAATTTGGGAGTACGAATACTCTGCTTCCTTTTCAGTAAGAGATTCACCATTACATTTAAAAGAGGGAATGAAAGGACAGTTGACGGAAGCTTCTTCGGCCACATCCAAAGCGTACTGTGTGTACAGAAGAGAAATGGACCCCGAAATAGACATTATGTGTACAGGATCAGAGCTGGGAAACGCCGAGGAAAAGTCTGCCGAGGAAGTGACCATGAGTCCTGCCATCGGCATCATGCAGCCCATCCTGAGATTCCTTCAGTTACTGTGTGAGAATCACAACCGAGAACTGCAGGTACATGTTCTGTTTTGTGTGAAAGCTGAGGATACAGCCTGTGTTTATTGGTCATCAAATTCAAATAAAACTCATAAGCAGTTTTGGAGAGATAATCAATAAAACCAATAATGTTCTTCTGAAAGGGGCAGAAACCTTCGGGTCTAAGTGAAGAAAAATGACAGGGAAGTTCCTTTATGCATGAAAAACATCAGGCCTAGAGACTACCATCCCTCACATCCTCAGCTCACGTCTTTTTCCTCTGTGGGCATCCTCTAATCCACAAGTCCTGGTGTTTGTTGATTTAGGTCACGTTTGCTTCATCTGTATTTTTCATGGTTTTTATAGACTTCAGGGGCTTTCATCATGTCCAACTCAAATCACGTTTCTTGAGTGAGAATACGGAATATATTTATATGACTTCATTAGAAATGGAGTTAATATAGAAAAGAATGTTTTACAACAATGAAGGGTGATACCTTTGTAAATGAATCTAGTTCTGTTCTTGTATCTTCTTTGGTATATTTTCCTTTGCCAAATAAATGTATTTGGTACCTAGGAATTTTGACCATTTAAAAAAATGTATTTGTATACTGTGCTTATGTCACCTGGCAAAACCACACGAAAGGTGGAATAGTTTCTAAGAGCATATATCCAGTACTGGAGACATAACAGAGTTTGAAGTTGCATTTTCTAGTAGGGTCTGGAGTGTAGGTGTTCTGAATTTCTAAGAGATGGTAGAGTCATAGAGATTGAATTAAGTATCCTCCAAAGGGATGGAAAACTCAGGAATTAATGAATGGTGGAAGTCATGACTCCTGTGGGCCATTCCACCCCCAAGTTAGAGAAGGGGGGCTGCAGGCAACAGCCAGAAGCGTTACTTCCTGAGGCAGGATGCTGGCTATGAGGCTGTGTGCTTATCCCCACCCATTCCATCTGTCCGGGTGGTGGGCAGTTATATCAGATAGTGTCTGATCAGACATGTTACTGATAGCAGTGTGAGAATCCAACAATTCTTAAATCAGTATTCATAAAATAGTTTTGTTTTAATAATAAATGGTAGAAGTATTCATAATAGCTCATATGTGGAGGCAATGCAAGCATTATTGACAGATGAATGGAAACATGAAACACGTTATATACTTACAATGGAGTATTCTTCAGCCTTAAAAAGGAACTGAATTCTGACATATGCTATACCATGTATGAGCCTTGGGACATTATGCTAAGTGAAATAAGTCAGCCACAAAAAAGACAAATACTGTGGGATTGCACTTATATGAGATACTTAGAGTGGTCAACATCATAGAGACAGAATGTAGAAGGGCGGATGCCAGGAGGCTTGGGGAGAAGGGAGGGGGAGTTGTTGGTGGGTATAGAGTTTCGCTTTTACTGGATGAGAGAGTTCCAGAAATTGATGGTGGTGATGATAGCTCAACATTATGAATATATTTAATGCCACTGACCTGTACACTTAAGTATGGTTAAGATACCACAATTTATGTGTATTTGGCCATAATGAAAAAAAAATGGAAAAAAAATCACACAAAAAAACTTGAAAAATAAATGTCAAAAATACATTCAAATAAATAAATAATAAACTGATGAAAACCACTAATAAATTTCAGTGAATATCAAAAGTTTTCACTTCTGCTTACCCTTTCACCAGGCTTACTCCCCCAAAGAAATGAACTGTTAACAGGCTGTGTTTCCTTTCAGAAATTTTATGCACATATAAGCCTGTTGATCTGTGCATGTAAAGCTTATTTAAAAACAAGACATTATATATAGTGCTCTTCAATTTACTGTTTTCATTTAGTACTGTACCTTATTACTAAATTACTTATTATTAGAGTATGTTTGTATGCATACATATTGAAGTACCTCATTTTTATAGCTTTGCAATATTCCAGTGTTTGGATGTGCTGTTATTTATTGAATCAATCATATTATGATGCATCTGGTATGGCTTCTAGTTTTTGCTGTTACAAGCAATATGCAGTGACCGCTTTGTGGACTTTATCAATCATCTGCCTCTACTGTAGAATAACTTTTCAGGAGTGGAGGTGTAGGTTAACTGAAAATTTTGATAGGTGCTTCCAAGTTGCCCTCCATAATGGTTGTTTCACTTACTGTTTGAAATTGCACTGTCTATAAGGACTTATTTGCTTGAAAATTTGATTGTTTTTTTCCCTAATGAAGTTCTTTCTAGTTTCCTTTTTCCTTCTTTTCCCTCTGCTTATAGTTTTAAGATAATGACATTGAGAAGTGTTTGTCACTTAAGAGTCTTTTTTGTTTCCTTAAACATAGGAGAAGTTTAATGTGAACACTTTCTTAATAAAGATCAGTTCTGTTTCACATTGCCATGGGGATTCTCTCAGGTAGAAAAATGTACAGAGAGAACTGAAAACAATTAGCACAGTGATTTTTTTTTAACCTCTTGGATATGTTTTCTTTTGCCTTCAGAACTTTTTGAGGAATCAAAACAACAAAACAAATTACAACCTTGTCTGTGAGACCCTTCAATTTTTGGACTGCATTTGTGGAAGTACAACGGGTGGCCTGGGCCTCTTGGGCCTCTACATCAATGAAAAGAATGTAGTGCTGGTCAACCAGACTCTGGAAAGCTTGACCGAGTATTGCCAGGGCCCATGCCATGAAAATCAGGTAATGAAAGCAGTTCGTCACGCAAAAGTATTCATGACTAATTAGCAAAAGAATCAGATTGGTGAAGGAGCCAGCCTTTGTGTGCATTTGAAAGATCTTTCTTCTTGCTTTGCCAGGTATTTTTACTTTCCTAACAAAACATACAAAGACTGAATTATAGACTAGCAAATACTATGCCATATTTTTATTCAATTTCATCCTAAAAGAAAATTCCCATGCATATGTTCCAGATTAAAATCAGACTTATCAAAAAGCAAAATATATTTCTTCATCATTGCTCAGTTTTCATTTTAGTGAATCTCCAAGATTTCTGGAATAAACTCCCTCAGGCTTCTTCAGCTCCGTTATGGTGGATAGTATATATTACCTCCTGTATGTTTCACAATAAACTTAAGAAACTTAGGAAGTAAGTATTATTGCTCCCATTTTGCTGAAGAATGGGTCTGACTCAGAGATTAAGTGACATTCCAGTGTCCCAGAGTGAGATAATCAATAAATTGTAGAGCCGTTCTTAAAACTCAGGACTTTCGATGGAGTCTAGATAGAGTGAGTGCTCTTTTGACTGTATTATATTTTCCAAGACAAGTTTTCAACTCTCTCTTGCAGAATGTTTGCCTCTGATTCCATTTTCTTGGATATGAGGGACACAGCGTGGGAATAGAAGACAGGATGCTTGAACCAGTAAAGGGAGGGAGCCACCCTGAAGTTTAGGAATTGACTGTTCACATCCACTCATGTGTTATGGGGCTGTGATCATAGGCATGGATCCACATGGAAGAGAACGTTTTCAGATCACAAACATTTCTGGATAAAAATTTTAAAGAAACCATTGAGACCAAGCATCAGTGCTTAACATAGAAAAGAAATGTGAGAAGGCAACAAGCTTTTCTATTGTAAACTATATGACATATACACAAAAATGTAGAGCATATATATGCACACATATGCACATAAATATATGTAGACATATATATACACACACATCCATAGATATTCAGAATAAAAACACAGCAATTAATGACATAAATAATTTGTTGTAGGGATACTTTTTCCCCCTCTGTAATGTGCATATGACACAGTAGAAGAGTTTATGGATTTTATCATGTACTTTCCTGGATTTTATTTCAAGCTCCTAGGGCAGTGTTACAAGAAAAACTAATTGTTGATTTAAAGTTAAGGAAAAATATACAAATTCAGAAATTTGGTTTTGTTGTTGGTAAAAACATGTGTATCTATAATGGAAAACACATATTACCTACTTTGGGTCTTAGGAGAAGATGAAATTGAGTTTTGAAAGTAATTTGCTAAATCAGATAAGAGCTACAAGTAAAAACCAATAATAAAAAATCATGAATCGCACATACTCTTAAAGTATACTTAAACTGGACCCCATGCTCTGAAAATGTGTGAAATGAAAGAAAGTCACTAGCAAATTCCAGAAATGATCTGTAAATTTATTCCATATAAGTTTGGCAAACATTTTAACCATCAGAAGAACCTCAGGAAATGTAAAGACACTTTTCTTTTGTTTTAGGGGAATAAAATTTTCCTTGTAAAAGGGAGAAACGATGCCTATTCTGAAAACCAACAGTCATTTCAGGGTTACTTTGATTTTACTCTTTCTCATTTAACTTACCTGGGTCTCAATTTTTCAAACCCCTTGATGCTGGGTGTTACATTGTCCTATGTAGTTCCACAAATTTCAACCCAGAAGTTCTTGATTTTCAAGCTCTGTCAAATGAATTAAGTTCAGAGTCCTGGCATAGTAGCCCTAACCTTCAAAATACTGATGTTTATCTCAAGATGTTTTACAAACTTTCCCCAAGTAAAATTGCTCTGTAAATCACTCAGGTTCAAGGAATCTGTTGAACTTTTCTTTAACTACCATAATTGACTGAATGCCCCCAAAACATCAAAAGGTGACTCTATTCTCTGTCTGCTGCCACCCAGCCTGTGCAGCCTCACTTGTCAGTCACGTAGCATCGTAGCATTAAGTAGCAGCTAAATTAAAGTGTTAAATCAGTACCAATAGCATTCACTTACAAATTTCAGGCATATAGGACACACTTCTTTCATAAAAAGGAATCTTTTCTTAGCCTGGAGAGATCAGATCTTAAGATTTGAATTTAGAGACTCCTTTACTGAAGGGCATATTATAATGTGTTGACTGAAAGAGCATTTAGCTTCACCAGTGATCCTTGAAGTTCTATAAAAGAGTGGTTCTTTTAGAAGATATCTGTAATACAGAGTATCTCCCTCAGTGTTCATACAAAGCCGTTTAATTACTATGAATCAGTGAATATACTCTGCAGAAGAATTAGACTTAAATCTTTGACTTCTTATCTTTGACTTAATCTCAGAGGTTAATCTAAATTATATTTTAAAGGTCAAAAAACTAAAGCGATTCTGTTATTTTATGTCATATGACTTCCAGTGTTTTTAAAATGTTATAAATAGAATGTTACTGTAATATTTCTGTACGGTGACTAATATCCTTATAGTTGGTAATTACACAGTGTGGTGAACATTTTATAATGTGTGTAATTGTTGAATCACTATGTTGTACACTTGAAACCAATATAATATTGTATATCAACAGCACTTCAATATAAAAAATATGCTTAGAGATTTAAAAAAAGAATGTTATTTGATAAACATTTTGTTTTCTAGACTTGTATTGCTACTCATGAATCTAATGGGATTGATATCATCATTGCTTTGATTCTGAATGACATAAACCCCCTTGGTAAATATCGAATGGATTTGGTGCTCCAGCTAAAGGTAAGGTAAATCCACACTTCTGGGGAAAAACTGACCTTTTCTGTATAGCTCCTTTCCAGAGTTGACTCTAAATCTTCAAGTAGCACTTGTAACAACCAAGATATAATCATATTTTCAACTAATGAATTGACAGAAAAGGGATAGGGAAAATACAGCATGTATAACTTCCTGATAAAATATCCAGTGAGCAAGGGTGATGGTCCGCCCGAGCGCACTTCATTGGAACTTCTTTTAAGGTAGACCCTTCGTTTCATTACTTCCTTGAGTTTTATTTTCTGTTTTTCATTGTACAGAGGGGCAAAAGGTATTGAACATTCATTGTCCATATGTATTTAATTCATCTTGATTACAGAACTCTAGGAAGTCACATCAAATTACGTAAAAGGAGGCATACATTTTAGTTTTGTGGCTCCCTCCTTTCTAAAACCTGTTTTCTTTTATCTTAGAATCTTATTTTTTTCCCAAATGCTATAAACCATTTTCCCCCTCCCTTTTAGCAGTTGCTTAAACTTAAGCCATGCACATGCTTCCAGCCATTCCACTTATCAGGACTCTGGAACAAAAGAGCACTTAAAGAAGTTCTTCAACTTTTTGTTCAAATGGAAATAGACAAATGAATATACACCATGAGCTCTGTAAATCCCAAAAACAAAGGCATATTAAATGGGATGAATTATTAAAGACCACATTATTGTGTTTGATGTTGAGGAGGTAGAAAAAAAGATCCATGGTTTATAATTTTTCTGTAAAGATAGGTCTATCCAATATCATAATGAATGGATTTGACTTGAAATATTTAAAGTATGGTTTTCCACTTAAAGAATGAGGTGTGTGTAACCTTCTAAACAACCTATGAAGCTTTGTGCATAATGGCCAATGTGAGAACAAATTTTGTAAGTCAGAATGCTATATATTGGCAAATTTTAGGAGGCTTCTATGGGTAGGGTGCTTTTAATTATAAATTCTCTGTAGCTTTATAGAGATGCCGTATTAAAAATGTTAAGATCCTGTTAGTCGCCCCTAAATTTAACTGCTTAATCATTTATAATTTTAAGTATTCCTAACTATACTCATTTCCTATGCAGTTTTATTAATTTTTCCTACTTACGTCTTTTCCTTTACTTTTAATTTACATTTCATAACTGACCTGTGACTATGAAGTACTACATTTATAAATAGACAGGGTTTTGGGTTTTTTGGGGGGCCTGTAGCTTCCTTTGGAAAAAAATTTCTCCATTAACAGTAACGCACAGTTGATTTCTATGTGTATGCAGGCTCTTGTACTTTCACATTGATTCAGATTTCAGTAAGCCACTTACAAGATTTCTATTCTTCCAGCAGGGTACAAAAGAGAAGCTTGGTTAGGAAAAATATCATCTTGCCAATATCATTCTCAAATTGGACGTGTTTTTAAACTATTATGTATTGGGCCTGCCGAGTGAGGTTCATTAGAGAATACTGTTAGTGTTGCCAAGCTTTTAGCTCTGAATTCTATGGGGTCAGTTCAGATCACTCTAGGGATTTAAACTCTGCACTGATCCTAAAGCCTTATTTTTTTTTTTGTAGGTATGTTGTTTGCACATGATGTTAGATTATAAAAATGGATTTTAAGATTGGTACAAATCTGTAAAGATTGAAAATGGAACCAAAAGATAATAATGCCTCCCCCACAAAATACTAAAATCTTCATAGGATGGGTCATTGAAATTGGTGTCATCATTACCATCATCATTTTACTAATGTTAATCATTTTAAGATAGTCTTTAGGCTGTACTTTGAAGGAAAATATAGTTGGATAGTGCTTGGTATTAAAACTCCTTAATAAAATTAATTTTCAGAACTTTAACAAATTTGTGTGGTGATCGTCGTCCACCAAACGGCTGACTCAGTTTAAGTTTTTATGCTGTAAGATGTTGAGTCATTTTAAGATGCTTCTTAGAGCGTCTTAAAGCCATTTGACTCTACTGCTCTTGTGCTTACATGTAAGATTGTGTGTGGAGGCTGAGTTTTTTATTGAAATGAATTTTTCAAAAACACTGTAGAAATATATCCTGGGTAAGTTTTTATCATCTTGCAATTTGCCACAATTCTAGAGCAATGCTATTGAAAACACAGTGTAAAGAACCATGTTTCCAAATGTTGAGGATACTATGCTTTGTGTCATAAGACTTCCTATAACTCTGAGGTACCCATTTTAGATTGTGAATCAACTGTAGCTGCAGTAGTTTTGATATCTATATGTAAAAATGTTTGAGACGATGTATCTATAAACCAAGTTAGAAAACATCAGAGACAGCATAAATTACTTTCATTCCCTATCAAATGAAAATGGAAAATATTATTCTCCTATTACCCAGGTAGGAAACATGGTACATATATGCTGTCATATAGTGAGACTAATAAGCCATTATCAATAATTTTATATTTTACATCTAGCTCATAAATTTATACTTGGATAGATTAATTCTCAGTTATTATTTCTCAAACTTATTTAAAGTTTTGATTTGCTAATCTGTATTAATGTTTCATGTTAAAAACAATTGTGCTAAATTCTTTAAATTATGTACCATTTCTGTAAAATAGGTCATTGATACTGGCTCACCTTACTGTCTTAATGTACTTAATGGCACATTAAAATATCATACTAAAACGTCACACAAATGCCTCTTGAAGTAATAGTGAAGGGAAATATAATATTTTAATGCATAATGTATAAAGTCAATTTTAAAACACCTTTTCACCAATATTTAAAATAGCTCATGCAACATATCTCTCATGATTCCTTAATTTTTATTTTGTGTTGACAATAAAGTAAAGCATTCTATTTTAAAATGTTAATAAGCCAAGCAAAATTAGCACTTTAACATTGTCTGATTAAAAACGATGGTCCTGGTAATCTCAATTAAAACAAATGCAGGGGGATCGGCAATCCATGAAATAGATTTTTCATGTACATTAACTCAATCTGTGTTCCTAGAACAATGCCTCCAAACTCCTGCTGGCCATTATGGAAAGCAGACACGACAGCGAAAATGCAGAAAGAATTCTTTTTAACATGAGACCCAGGGAACTGGTAAGAAAACCTTGAAAGCCTCGTTAATAATACGTAATCTGAAAGGGACAAATTGAAATTATGCATGTCAGCAAGAATGTGGTGCCTATCACTGCTCAGCTGAGGTATGGCAGCACGTCATGCCCCACCGTTCGGAATACCCAGGAAGGCCCATGAGAGCAAAGGCCTGTGTCACCGGGGTCCTTGCGACTGCCCTGGAATTCTCCACTTCAAGGGCTTTTCTTAACTAGATTGTCACACTCATTTCAACTACCTGTGAGTTGTTTTTGCTAGAAAAAAGCATTTGCTTGAGTTTGTGTGCTAGACTATATGAGGAAGATGTGTAACAAATGTTTGTACCCCTCAAAAATTTCATTTATACTACTTTCTGAACAAGAAAAGTAAGATCAACAGCTTTTGCGCCTGTTCTTATTAGTGAACTGCTGCGCAGTATGTGGCCTGGAGGACACTGTGCGGAGACTGACAGGCATTCCACAGGACTCATTAGTGGGTCTTCCGACTGTCGCTGTTGTCTTTTCCTCCTCACTTGCGACATGAAGCTATGAAGTAATTCTGGCACGCCCTAAAAGCGCTGGGTTCCAGAAGCATTGAGCACATGCCCAAACCTTAAAGCTCAGGGCCCACTCGACCAAGTCCCAGTCTGATGAGACCCCTGTCGGTGCTGTGTGGAAATCTATGGAAGGCTCCCTTTTGCCCTCCCCTTAATAGTACGGAATGGAGTCAAGGAGGGCAGATAAAGAGAAAGATAAGATGTGGTTTAATTCAACACTTATTTAATGAGAGTCTCCTCTCTACAAGGTAGTGGGCTAAGGGGACAGACATTTCCTGTTATACAGATAAATGGGCCAATGGGTTATATATTTATTCAGCAATAGCGCTGCACTATAGCCCTTTGAAAATACTATTTCCTCTGCCTACAGCACCTTTTTGGAGTCCATCCTCACCTCTTGCCTTGTGCTTCCTTAGTGCCCCACACGTGACCCAGCGCAAGGATTGTTGTGTTCGCCCTTTGACTTGCTGACTCCCCCAGTGGACAGTAAGCTCCCTGAGGGCAGCTGCTCTGTTTTATCCACTGCTGGGTCCTCAGTGCAAAGCATGATGTCCAGCACCTTATGGCCTTCTTACCTACCTAGTGCACCCTTAATACCCACTTATTATTATTAATACACATGGATGCTTGTCAGGGTTCCAGAGTCCCCTAATTCAAAAATTAAACTACCAACATTCAAAAATAAAAACAAAATTTTCCAAGGGAATATGGTAGGAAAATACTTCTCTGTTCATTTAAATAATGTTCGCAAGGACATTTTCATTTATTTTATACTTTACAAGTCTTAGGAGGCTTTCCAGTTTTGAATGACACCATGTAAACAGCGTCAGATGTATGTGTGTGTGTGGCATTTCCAACCTTGTTGTTCCTGTTTGTTTTTTGACAGGTGGATGTGATGAAGAACGCCTATAACCAAGGGTTGGAATGCAGTCATGGGGATGATGAGGGCGGAGATGATGGTGTTTCCCCAAAAGACGTTGGACACAATATCTATATTCTGGCCCATCAGGTGTTATATTTTATATCTATATTATTCTGCTAATTTTATCAATCATATATCAAGTTCTAGTGTCTTCATTTATTTCGCACTTACCCCTCTTACCCCCCTTGCCCCTGGCCAAGGAGGGAAAAGCTGCTGGATCTCCTTGTTCTGCCCACAGGGCTGTGCTAGGTGCTGATCCACAAGAAAACAGTACTTGGCACCGTTGGGCCAGGAAGGAGGAGATGGTCCCAGTGTCAGAACTTAAGGAACAGGTAAAACTTAGCAGCAAGTGTAAGTCTTTAAGGAGGGAAAAAAAGAGGCTGAGAAGATAGAGTGTGAAGCAAGGAGATGCATCTGATCTGGTCTGATCGGACAAACCTTGCAGTGACTTCTGACCTCTTTGAATTGTAGGCTGGCATGCTTCCTTCCTGCAGAAGCCATCACGTGGCAGCCTCTAACCAGCTTCGGTTGGGCTTCTAGCAGAATGAGGCCAAATTTTAAATTCTTTTGAAGGGACCATTTCCATTTTTAGTAACTTATGAAAACAGGTGCTTGATATTTGTTATTTAATGAATTTAATTCCACTAATGTGAAGATCCACTTAAATTTGCACCTTCTAATTCAGATTTGTTTAGAAGGTAAAAGTTTTAAATGTACAACGCCACTTTGATTTTGTCTATGGTAGCTCCCTCTTTTTTGCAGAATAAAGTCCCAACTTTGTGGACTTCCCCAGTCTTTAGTCATTTTCTACCATTGACAGTCTCCCTTTTCCTGCTTTCCCACCTTATCAGTTAATTAACAAACATTGATTGATACAAGGTAAGATTCTGAGTACATTTACTCAAAAAAAATTTTTTTAATTTTTCTTTCATGGAGATGTAAAAATTGACATACAGCACTGTATAAGTTCAAGGTGTTAGAAGATTGCTCTTTACATTTCCTGCTCTTCTTTATCCTTTGTAGAACTGTATGATTTATATAAGCAAGTATAATTTTTACAAAAGATTCAGGGAAGGAGTCAAATTTTAAAAGGTATTAACAAAACAAGCTGCTGTTGTTTTGTATTGTAGTTGGATCATTGAAAAGGTTTTTAAGACTCTCATTGTATAGCAAATGCCTATGTAAGACAGAAAAAGATACGGGCAGATGGGTTATAGCTAGAAAGACAAAAGAAAATTTTACATGTTTAGGAACTGAGAGCTAAGATGAAGGACAAGTTGAAGGAAGCAGAACACAGAGATTTAGGATGTAGAAAAAGTGTAGTTTTAGAAAGAAATAGAAATCAGGTGCCAGGAATTGAGTCAAGTTGGAAAAGGAATGCTTCGAGATTGAATGTAAGTAGAAGAGAAAAAAATATGAGGATTAAAATCATATTGGCTACTAGAACAAATACATAAATGTGGTGGCACAGCACGTGTCCATGGGCAAGGAATTACTTCAGAAGCTGTAGCATTGTGGGAGGAAATCAGCACAGAAGAGTAGGGCAGACTATCAGAAATAGGTTTTAGAAGAAGGAAGTAGGGAAATGCAGCCACCCATGTATATTCTTGGCTGAAAGCTGAAAGCTGGTCTTGCTCTGTCTCAGGAGGTTATCCCTCCATACAAATGAGCAGTTTTGTGAACCAGACCTGCTCCTGTAGCTTTTAAGTGGGAAATGACATCCCACACCAGCTACGTTGGCCCTGGAAACAGTGGAGTGGCAGGTGTTTGAGCCAGATCACCCCACATCCATGAAGGAGAAGTTTAAAAACACAAACGCAGATTACCAGTATAATACGGGTCACAATAAAAGCCTCAAGGTCAAGGGAAGACTTGCCCAAGGAGGGGGATTTCAGAAGTAGTAACATAGGAACATGGGATTAAAAACAACTGACTGACAAGAAGAGATAAGACAATGGATGTGAAAATGGCTTGAATGGATATTTAGAGGTTTCTTGATTTCCTAAAACTAAAATGTTGGACAAGCAGAAGTTTGCAGAGGTGGATGGCATGACATATAGATGTACATAAATAAAGCCAGAGCGAGAAAGAATGTCAGGACTGAGTAAGGGGAAGGAGATTCTGAATTACTAAATGCTTTAAGCCTTGAGATTAAACTATAAGGGTATAAATACAAAATGAGAGTCCCCATGGGGCCTTTTAGGAACTCAAAAGAGGGGACAGGAGCAGCCAAGTCTACGAAACAGCTGTACGTAACTGACAGTCTAGAGTTAAGCAACTGTCTTATTTTCCTAGAGCGACAGAGAGAGATACCTTTCCACTTTCTAAGGGTGTTCTCTGGGCTGGCTCCTCTAATTTTCTATGAAAAATTCAGTTTCCACTCACAGAGAAGAACCCACTGTGCTCTTTGGATTTTTCTACAAGTGACCCGTTCGGCTTTCTCTAGGCCAGGATATTATATTTGGTTTCTTGGGAGGCCGATCGTATTTGCTGAGCTCCTTACGACTCTGTTGTCCAAACAGCTGGCACACCGAGGCACAAATACAAGAGTGGTGGTTGTCAGCTTTGCTGGAGAAGAAGCCACGTAGCTGTGTGCCAAAGGCTCGGCCGGGTCCAGGTCTGCTGTTTTCACTGTAGATGAGGAGTCATTTGGCTGCAGCCTGCTGATGACCGTGCAGATTGGCTTCTGTCTGCACGGTTCAGTAATTCCAAAACCGAGGCTCAACTTCCTCCTTGTTTTACTATAATCATCTTTTGTACAGACAGTTTATTTTGGTGCCCTCAGACTTTCAATTTTTGTTGTTAATTCTTTTCATGGTAGTGAGGTAGTTCTGCTTTTTTCCACCGTGACATCCTTTATCGCCCTTCCTGTGGTTTGTGTTACAAGAAACAAATAATGCTTCTTGTAAGTGTCTTGTCTGATCTACATAAAACTATAAATACATCAAAAAGGGAATTTCTTAAGTTCCAGTACCATAGTATCGTGCAGAGTATTTCCTTACAGCTCAGCTCTGTGTCCTTCCTGACCTTCTGTCCTCCACATGCTTTCCTTACGCTTGTCTGCTCCAGTCCTGGTCTTTCATATTATGCTGTCTTCTGGTTTCTTCTCTTCTTTCCTTTTTTTCTGTAAAACAGTCACTGCCTACATTCCGGAACACTGTTCGGTACTTTGTGTATATTTAACATCTAAGAAACTGTATTGTTTCTCTGGCCTCACATAGCAGTTTCTATTTTTCTGTCTGAAACCCTTTTTTATTTTTCCCACAGCTTCATTGAGATGTAATTGACATATAACATTGTGTAAATTTAAGGTGTGCAACATGTTAATTTGATACATTTGTGTATTGCAAAGTGATAATCACTATAGCATTAGCTCCATCCCATCATATAATTACCATTTCATTTTTGTGAACATTTAAGGGCTACTCTCTTAGCAGCATTTAAGTATATGATACAGTATTTTTAGCCATAATCACCAATCACCATACTATACATTAAATACCCAGAACTTGTTAATCTTACAACTGGAAGTTGGTACATTTTGCCTAATAACCCCATTCCCCCCACTGCCCATTTCTTGGTAATCACCAGTCCACTCTTTCTCCTGAGTCCAACATTTTTAGATTCCACATGTAAGTGATGATGGCACACAGTGTTTGTCTTTCTCTGACCTGCTTATTATTAGCATAATGCCCTCAAAGTCCATCCATGTTGTTGCAAATTGCAGGGTTTCCCTCCTTCTCATGGCTGAATAATATTCCACTGTGTGCACTCGTGTGTGCACGTACACACACACACACACCATGTTTTCTTCATTCATGCATTGATGGATACTTCTGTTTCCATATCTTGTCTATTATGAATAATGTTGCAGTGAACATGTGAGACCCTCAAGAATTAAGGAGTTTATGGAAAATACTATATGTTTTGCATGATGGAGAGAAGTATTAGACAGTAAGCCTGTGGAAAGCAAAAATAACCCCTGGCCCATAAGGCAAGAAAGAATGGATCACTTTAATTGGCTATATGAAGTTATTTTTTAAATATAGGCTTTAAAAATTTTCATGAGCATTTTCACATATCACTAAATGGCTTAAAACATAATTTTAATGTCTGCATAATCATTCACCATTTGAATGTACCATAATTTATTTAATGACTCCTGATTGTATATTTAGGTTTCTAATGTTTTTGATATTATACATTATGCTATGATTAACATCCTTACACATTAATCTTTGTCTGCTACACTAATAATTTCCCTGGGATAAATTCCAAGAAGTTTAATTACAGGTCACAGGGTAGTAACTATTTTATGGTTCTTGATGCATATTAAAGAATTGTTTTTCCCATTGCTTATCTTAGTAAATCCTAAAACTACTACCATTTAAGAAATATCTTTGCCAAACCTAAAAGTTTTGGAACATATTGACCACTCCACAAATGTTAGTTGAATTAATTAATGAATCATAGGTGAAAGGAGGTCTCATCTGCATTCACATCTTTTGGATTACCAATAAAATGGACCACCTTTCAATGTTATTTGGTCAGTTCTAATTCTTTTGTGAATTATTTGAAAACGTGTCCATTCTTCTGGTGGGGTTCATTTTTTCTTAGTGAATTTTAATGTAGGTAACAAATCATAGTCATTGTAGTTCTATCTATTTCCTGATTCATTTGCTTTTCAATGCTTTAATGATAATTTTCTGCCATTAAAACTATCTGTTAAACACTTGCCATTAAAACTGTTAAACACTCACCTAGATTTTTTTGTATGTCGAGTGAATTCAGTCTTGTTTTTAATCACATCATCTTTCATGTCTTAGTGCAGAAATAATAAAAAGGTAAGTCCTGTCTCTAAAGATACAGTCTAAGATTTAGTAGTAACAACAGTGCTTGAGGGCAAGGTTTGTAGGCATTACCTGAGTGTGGTGTAGAGTCTGGGTCACAGAGAGAACTTTAGTAGAAGAGATCACAGGTCAATCCAGACCATGCTCAGGGCCAGAGAGAGCATGTGAATGAGTGTTGTGGGGGCAGGTGAGGGCGGGACCATCTGATGATCCTCTTGAGAAGCACACAGCCATTGC